ATGAAAAGCGATTAAGCGTAGCGATAATCAATCTCTGTCTGCAATTAACCAATCATCACTTTGTCACTGATGAATAATGCATGTAAGTATCGCATGTAAGTCGTATTACGTATTTCCGAGTGGAATCATCTAACAATAAGTTATCTAACAAAGACACTCTCTATAATCGTCTAATTTATCTTTATATAGATTATAATGAATTGTATTTGTGTGTATTAATGTGTATTTTTTTTAAATTATTACCGCTAAGAAACTTTTGAGATTTTCAAACAGTAATATTCTATCTTGAATATTTTTCAAACCGTGAAGAAGCAAATACCGACTACGGCTAAGGGTAACTTCGATTACGTATACACGCAAGATATGATCTTGAAGATGGCATGGGACAAAAAAGAACTTTCTGGAAAATCTCAAACTTTCTTAGATTTTTAAATGAGAAAAAATAAGAAGCGGAATGTAATGAATAAACAATAATAAAATAACCGTAAAAATTATTCAATTAAACCGGATATAATGCATATAAATAAAAAAAAGTGTTTGCACTGTGCAAACAAAAAAAAAGTGTTTGCAAGTGTGCACGTTAAGCGTCCTGTCCATGTATTGCGCTTAACTGTACTTAAGCACTTGTCCGGAAATCAGTAATCCTTCGAACTCTGCTTTACCCCTTGATCACCATACAACCGAATAAACCCAGACATAAGTGCATATATCCATATACTCATACACACATACATTACATATGTACAATACACGTTCGGAAAGTTTACTAGTTGCATCATGACTCATGCTGGGGACTGATTTTATAATAACGTTATAATTATGTATTATATTTACGTAATTTTTTGCGAAGAAACTGATTCTCTTGACGTATGATCGTGTGAGGTGATTCTTTTGTTCGCGATTTCCTTCCGAAAAACGAAAAGGCAGCGAAGAGAATGCAAAACTTAAGAAAATGAAAGAAATGTAGTCTTAAAAAAATGAGAAAAACATCAGAATCTTATGCTCTTTATTAAATTAATTGTCATAATATTGTTTAATATTAATTATAATAATATTTAAATAAGTATTATTATATTTCTCGAAAATTAAAAATGACTTTTTTGTGAGAATACTTTTATATACTGTAATAATGTGACAATCTATTATGTAGATAAATTGTTATAAAATAATAATTAATAGATATTAATTATTATAAAATAATAATTAATAGATATTAATTATTATAAAATAATAATTAATATAAATATTGATTAATATAAAATAATTTAAAAATAAAATCTATTTAATCTAATTTAAGTTTTTTTCGGTTTTTAACTCTCGATATTTATTTATAAATATTTTAACAATTCGAATATGTTTTGAATAATTCTTTCTTCTCTTACTCTGACTTTTCTATCATCATAAAATAATTGAAATTTTTGAAATTTCGGACAATGTATTAGCATTATATGTGGAAAACAACATTTTAATGAAAATTGTTTTACTTGAATTGTGAATAATTCAATAAATTGATGATATAATAACTTGAACCACACAGGTATTGTTACAAATTTCATATTCTTTCTGTAAATATAATCCTTTCGTTATTAATGTGTGCAGTTATCAAGAGCTATGGATTACGATTTCTAAATAAGCTATAATACACAATCGAGAATGTGTGAAAGGAAAGATTAACGATTTCTCGAAAAAACATGAAATTGCAGTCAAATTAAATATTTATATAGCTTATAATTATATGTGACATTTATCGTACTTTTTATGATCAACAGAAGCATTCAGACTACATTTTGTGGATCAGTTTATGAAAGTTAAATTGGAATAAAGAATCAACATTTAAAAAAAGAGAGAAACCAATCACGAATTTATAGTAAGTCATATATATATATATATATATATATATATATATATACATATATATCGGAATCTTTATATGTTAAATTTGATCCATTGATATCGAATATCAGCATGTTGCCTCAAGATAACGTTCCGTCAATAAATGAAGAGCAAAATGGCAAGAGCGAATCGCCACATCCCGATGTTGGTACACCAAAACGTAATCGACTTCGTCCCGATATTAAAAAAAGCAGCCTACCTATAGCTGCTAAAGCTGGACGGTGTACCAACATCGGGAAGTTGCTATTCACTCTTACCATTTTGCTCTTCATTTTTGGCGGGACATTATCTTGAGGCAACATGCTGATATTCGATATCAATGAGTCAAATTAAACATACAAAGATTCCGATATATATATATATATATATATATATATATATATACACACACATATATATATATATATATATATATATATATATGTGTCGGAAAAAAATATTAATTATAAATATTTTACTGTCTTCAAAAAAAATTGTATTGTCTAAATGTATTAAATATTTTAAAAGAAAACTGGGAGAGAGAGAGTGAGAATAATAGTCACTTATTAATATCTTAGTATATTATTTTATTATCATAGTAAAAGTCACAATTATATTTAATGTATAAAGTACTTATTACTTTTTCAAAATATTCACGTGTAAACTTTTATAAATAATTTTATATTTTAAATATTAGAAAACGTTTATTTATAAATAAAATGTTATTGAATTAAATAATTTATAAAATTACATATAAATACATTATTATATTATTTTAATATTACATTGTTGATATAAAATGAGCAGTGGCGCGCGCGAATCTTGCGCTTGTCTGTTCTAGTTAGGTAAATAATATAAAAGTACTTTCGTGCAATAGGCTTAACAATCGTTTCTTTTTCAATGGAACAGCAGTGTTAGCAGACTTTTTTTCCGTAAACAAGATTTTATTCTAAAGAGTTTAATATTATGTAATAAATTTCTGAAAAGAATGTCGAACGTGTCTCTTTGTGTTCTTTTTTGGTTCTTAATTGTGGGCATATTTTCTTTTGCTATTGATAAAAAAGTTAAATCGTCAGACGAACAGTTTTCTTATACAGATTTAATCGCATCGATAAGTCAACTTTCCAAAAATATATTTAAGATAAGAAACTGAATTTATTATGATTATATATTGAATTTATTAAAACTGGATTTATTTCTATTTGTTATAACAACGTCTATTATGTGCTACCCACATAATAGACATTTATTATCGTATATTATTATAACATATTATCATATAAATATCATAATCTTGTCGAAAAAAAATATTCTTCTTTTTTTATTTGTAAGTACCTAATAAAATTATCTCAAAACATTATCTCTCTATTATTGTTATTTTATGTTAATTTTAAAGGTATTTATTTTAATGAGATGTCTACCAACGGAATCTCACTTAACTTTACTGTTAGGCGGAGATTATTGAATTTCTTGTACAATCCTGTATCAATATGACACCTACAGCATTAATAAATGAAACAAATCTTCGATTTGATACGCTCTGAACATTTACTCTATCAAGATATCCTATCTAATGTTCGAGAATTACAGTTTCACTTATTTTCTTCGGGTGCATCGTTTCGTACTAGTGACATCTTCTTAATTCATTTTGCGAAATCTGTTACAGATAAATAATAATAAACCAATTTAATAAATATATAATTTTATGAAAAACATGTATAATAATATCGAATGCATCAAAACTAATAGTACAATCAAAAAGGATGTAATTCTATATAAAAAATAAGTCGGAAATGCATAATAAATATAGTAAATATAGTGAAATTTTATTATATACAAATTTCTTTTTTAGAAAAACAAATTTGATGTTAAAATAGGTGTGCACCTCTTTTCTTTGGGCTTAACGACCTAAATTATATGTTACTTTTACTTATAGTTATATTTCTCTTGTATCAGTTCTGACAGCTTACTTTTGTCGATAATAAAAATTTATCGCGCAATTTGACAGCAAAACAACGCGAATCCATATGCAATCGAAACAATTTAGAGATTTGGGATTTTTCAATTATTTTCTTTCACACATGTACAACTGCGAGAAAGGGGAAAATTTTCCTTTGTATGCATTCGCGCTTTGATAGGAAAAGTCGACCACCATTGGCCGGTATGCACTCGATCGGACATCAGTGCGTATAAGTGTGTTTAGTATCTTTCCGAGTGTTATATTCACGTGTTTATGCATTATTATTTATGGTGTCCGCCGGCAGTACTTTACAGATATTAAGAGAAAAGAGAATAATAAGAAAATATTAATAGAATAGACAAGAATAGAAATGCATCAATTTTTCGAGAGACAGTAAACGAGAGAGAGGAAAAAAGATCAAAAGAGAATAGCTCCGGGGTTGAAGAAGAAAAGGGAAAACGTTAAAGATAACCGAGTACTCTTTTCAATTTATAGAACTTTTCGCTATAAAATGCATCTCTTCTTAAGATTGTCGGGGGGATCTATGTAGTTCGGTACTCTACGATCATCGAAGGCGCCAGACGAGAAGCCAATGAACACACGTTATTATCGACACATATAATTATTGTTTAATCTCAATTTATTTAAGAGAATTTGAAGCAGCGATACAGCCTTATATTTTATTTCATGCGCAAAATTATGCGAATTTAAAGAAATCAATAAATTCCTAAATGATCTAAATTTACAAAATTTTAATATTAAAGAGAAACAAGTGCGAAAAAATAAGTGAGAGAAAAATGCATTAACATAATATATTAAATTTGTGTTCCAAAAAACAATTCATTTCCCGATCTCTTTTTTTCACATTTCATTCACACTTGCGAAAAAACTAATTTTAAACTTATTATTAGCTAGTCTTCTCTTTTTGAAATACCTTACGTAAATGGATTACTGCATTAATAGATTACGAAAAAAAATTTAAGAATAATGAGTTATATCGCATACGAACTAATTTTCGCCGATAAATTAAACCGATACATTTTTAATTGTTTTGCTCTCACGGCATATCGACGATGTGCGATCGCGCTCATTATCTTCACAGTAAGATGCCACGAGTTGCCCGCGTTCGCAAAACATAAACACAATTATTTCCCCCATCCGCGGGTTCATATTTTGAAAGATGTACGACCTTCTTCAGATCGACGAGAACAACTCACCGACGATCACGCAGTTTCTTCCAGACAAAGAATAATTATAGTTGAATTACCGTTCTGAATATTTAAAGAAGATTTCCGGATCAGAGTGCAAAATCTTTATAAACTCTCAAGGTATGTAAAAGAAATCTTAAAATAGATATTAGAAATAACGTTCAGAAATTGCCTCATCAACTTTAAAGACAGAATGTTAATTTAGTTTGGAATTTCATTTCAGTATATATATTTAGAGTTTTATGATAAATCGTGAATATAATTAAAGTTTGATCTATCGGAGCAATAATGCTACGAATTGTAAATGTGCGTGTTTTCAGTCGTACTAATCGCGAGGAAAAGATAAATAATATTAGACATAATTCGACATCAATATGCGTCATTTCTTTCAGTTATAGCTTAGTTGAACGCTAATTTCTATCGCTAACTTTGATGCGCCGGAAATAGAAGTGGTTTGTCCTATATTAATTAGCATTACGCGTGTTCAAAGGAGCCAATGTGTCTACTGCGGTAATGACTCGGACACGTCTAATGAAACGTTGTTTGCGAATCGATCGCGAATAAATTCCCTCATCAACCTTGAAACATCAAAATAAAAGTGTATTTATGTAAATTGTAGCCTAAAACGATGTAGTTAAAATTAAAAAGTATACCGATATACAAATTGATATTATATCGAAAGTACATTTAGATTCGATCTTTATTAATATAATGAAAATATTGAGGCACTGAGATAATTATCACTATTTAGTTGTAAGCTATTGAAAATGAAATTTTGCTTTTTATAAAACAAGCTTCGATATTTGTATAAAGTATATATATATATAATTATTCGTTCATTAATTCTAAAGACATTTTAATAGATATTTAATTTTTAAAGCTCAGTTATTAATCTCTCTTAATATCTTTACTAAAAACAAGACTTTATACTTTCAAATCTAACGGAAATACATGCGTATATGTATGTGTATATTTTCGTACAAACTATGAACAATACACGGTATCATTATTGGAAGGTCACATACTTGAAAATTCACGAAATAAATATCGTTAATCCTAACTGAAATATATGAGAATATAATTTTGAATTATAAGATTCGTATTTATTTATATTTTTATATACAGGCCTGTGCATTGTATAAAACCTTTTTATTTCTTTAACATACAATCTGCATATAATTATCTGTTTGTCCGAAATAGTGTTTTTGCTGTTTTCACAAATGTAGTCAAAAACGCACTCCTTCGATAAAATATATTGAATACTTTCAAGATTATCGAAATAGATGTGAGTTGTCTAGTCCGCGCGTGTTCCAGTTAACTTCATTTTTTTAATTCATTTGGTCGAAGGTTGCGTAATGATACCGCTGTTCACAATTTCAATCTACTTTTAATTAACGCATGCTCACTTATATTTTATATTCTCTAATTATTTTTCTATTCTTATTTATCTTTCTATCTTCGAAAAAGCTTATTTTCTCTGATATAAATATAAAATATATAATAAATATTTCTCTGATAAATATAAATATATAATATATTCCATCTTTTAGTTTTTTAATCCAACCTCGTGTATGCGTTCGCGTAATTAAATGAGAACGAATATTTTCAGATGTCCACGAACCAATTGAACGTGCTTGTGAGCCTGATGATTGCCATCGCGTTTTTTGTGTCGGAATCAAGAAACGCACAAACGAACGGCTACCCCAACCAGCAGCCCGCGACCTTGCCCCAGAAATATTGTGGCGAAATGCTCTTAAATATTCTGCATATAGTCTGTAATGGCACATACAATTCCATGTATGATAATAGTACGGATCAAGGTAAGCATAAAAGCTAATCAATACAGAAGATATTTTTTTTCACTTATATAAACGAATCCAAACGCCAAATAGGATAGATAATATATCGGTAATGGATTAATGAGCAAAATTTTTTATTTCTACAACAATGTTAAATAATATATTTTTTTCCTCCAATGTATGCAATGTTTTTTTTATTAGATTTTAATATTTGTAATTATAGATGAAGATGATAGTTTAACCAGCATGATTTATTTATGAATTTTTTAACGTATCTCTTATTGCTAGAATTTAATCGCATATGCGTATGTGTTTTATACAATAAAATAGAAGAAATTTTAATTAATTGTTATATATTGTTTTTGAATTGCCATTTAGAATATAAATATTTTATAAAATATTTTATACAAATTTTTTAAATACTGTTATTAATATGTATTTTTTAAATACCGTTATTAATATGTATTTTATAAATACTGTTATATACTGATAAATCTATTCTGTAATCTATTAAAAAAATATAAATGCGATAATTTATCTTTTAATGCGCATGCAATATTTATAATAAGGCATTTTTTGGATAGCGATTATTTATCGATGTCATTACGTAATCTTCTATTACGAGTTTAAAAAATGAAGCTATCTGGAACAATAATAAATTGCCCGTAAAAATTATTCAATTAAACCGGATATTATGCATATAAATAGAAAAAGTGTTTGAACGATACTATCTTTTTATATTACTTCTACACACTGCTACAGAAGTTTGCACTTATTTTCAGAAATGACGACGGCCAATTATCAGTTTGATTCCGACTCTTCCCCGTCCCCAGCAACAGCACAGGAGACGTCGAATGGAACGTTCGACGATAGGAATAATCGACGAAAACCCGAAGACATCTATGAGAAATGCTGTCGCAATTCGTGCACGTTAAGCGACCTGTCCATGTATTGCGCTTAACTGTAGTCCTTAAGCACTTGTCCGGAAATCAGTAATTCTTCGAACTTTGTTTTACCCCTCGATCATCATGCAGCCGAATAAACCCAGACATAAGTGCATATATCCATATACTCATACACACATACACACATCACACACACACACACACCATACACACACACACAAACACACACACACACACACACACACACACACACACACATATACATTACATATGTACAATATACGTTTGGAAAGTTTACTAGTTGCATCATGACTCATGCTGGGGACTAATTTCATAATAACGTTATAATTATGTATTATATTTACGTAATTTTTTGCGAAGAAACTGATTCTCTTGACGTATGATCGTATGCGTGATTCTTTTGTTCGCGATCTCCTTCCGAAAGACGAAAAGGCAGCCAAGAGAAGGCAAAACTTAAAAAAATGAAAGAAATGTAATCTTAAAAAAATGAGATATAAAAACATCAGAATTCTTATGCTCTTTAAATTAATCGTTATAATATTGTTTAATATTAATTATAATAATATTTAAATAAGTATTATTATATTTCTCGAAAATTAAAAATGACTTTTTTGTGAGAATACTTTTATATACTGTAATAATGTGACAATCTATTATGTAGATAAATTGTTATAAAATAATAATTAATAGATATTAATTATTATAAAATAATAATTAATATATATTAATTATTATAAAATAATAATTAATATAAATATTGATTAATATAAAATAATTTAAAAATAAAATCTATTTAATCCGATTTAAGTTTTTTTCGGTTTTTAACTCTCGATATTTATTTAAATATTTTAAAAATTCGAATATGTTTTGAACAATTCTTTCTTCTCTTACTCTGCCTTTTATATCATCATAAATCAATTAAAATTTTTGAAATTTCGGACAATGTATTAGCATTATACGCGGAAAGCAACATTTTAATCAAAATTGTTTTACTTGAATTGTTAATAATTTAATAAATTGATGGTATAATAACTTGAACCACACAGATATTGTTACAAATTTCATTTTTTTTCTGTATAAATATAATCCTTTCGTTATAAATGTGTGCAGTTATCAAGAGCTCTGGATTACGATTTCTAAGTAAACTATAATATATATATATATATATACATGTGGATTAATATTATCTATTGGATGTCCACATTAGTAGTGAGAATCTACCTTATAAATCATATCTGTGAGAGAGTTAGAATTAAGGTAAAAGAATATATATACATATATATATATTCGTTTATCTTTCTGCACTAACATCACGAATAAAGCATAACACATTGTTGATATACTTGCAAAGTAGGATAACATTTCGAAAGTTATTTGCATTCCAAATATCGAATTCAATTCACGAGCAATGCGACATAATTCTAAATGAAGATGCCTATCAAAAGACATGTATTTTGTTATTATAGAAAATCATATTTTTTTATTCGTATAAAGTGTAGTTATACATTGAAAGAATTCATATAAATTTGATTTTCTTAATTAATTATTTTCGGAAATACTAAGTTCTACAAAATTTTATTATTAAATGAATATCGAAATGATAATTTTTTCGAACATGTGCATATATCGATTTACATTAAGATCCACAACACTGTCTTATAATTGTAAGTACATAAAGTATATCGATGTAGACCAACAATAGGTTTTCTCCTTTCCACTTAAATATTATACATTGGAAGCCGTATTCTTCTGTCATCAATAGACATTTCATATGCTTGTTTATTTCGTCAAATCTATTACCGATATATCTGTATTACAATGTTTTACAAATTATAAAATACATTATTCTGATATGTTATCTCCAGAACATATTTGTGATGTATTAATGTACATTGATATGATATACTTTAAATATATATTATATAATATTTTATTTAATTAAATATAAATGGAATAATATTTAAAATATTTAAAGAAAAAATATAAAATACTTGTGATGTTTATAATTTATAAATTAATATAAAAATTGCAAAAGAATCTATAAAAATATGTCTAAAATAAAATATAAAAATATATATAAAAATATATATAAAAATTTAAAATATATACAACTATTTGTGTGTGCTATTTATATATATATATATATATATATATATATATATATATATATATGAACATATATACATAGATGCATACATATATATATATATATATATATATATATATATATATATATATGTATATATATGTGTATACATACATACAAATATATTAAATATTATACAAACCATAAGATAAAAATAAATAATAAGTTTATAAATGCATTTATATGGCTGCAATAATTTAATATAGCTGTCAAAAATCCCCAAGCGGATTTTGTTATATACTCAGCCACCATAGTGTATCATAAAAGTTTATAGTCAGAATGTACATAATCCATCCAATGGCTTGTTTCGATCTCTTATATATTTTTTATGCATTTCTGGAGTGTGCCTAATTTCTCCAAAGTGTCATCCGCAGCAAGCTTTTTCAAACATGTTCCAAATCTCTAAAAAATAAACATAAACACATAATTTAATACGATCCATGACACAATTTTTCTCTTTCTGTCTCTTTTTTTCTTTCTCTTCTTCATATAAAGTATAATTACATACAACTATTAAATAATTTTAGAAATATTGTTTAAAAAGGCTATTAATTTTTCACAAAATTGCATATATATATATATATATATATATATATATATATATATGCAATTTTGTGGAAAAAAAAATATATATATATATATATATATATATATATAATTTACACATAAAATCTAAAAGAATAATTGTACCTTTTGATGATAGAAAGTCGTAGTCACAGATATAACACAGATAAAGATATTAATCTCCATAACGACTGTATTAATATCGGATTGAAATATTATCCTCCATCTAAATAGGGTCACTATATAATAATAGAGATAAACATAAATAAACCAGATTATTATTGAATATAAAGTATTTAAATAAATAATCTACTGAATTCTTGAATTTGATTGTTTTATAGAATAGTCTCTTAAACCCATAATAAAGCCCATAAAGAAGAAAGGACTCATATCTGTTGGATAACAATGGTCATCATTGCTGCATTAAAGTAACACTGACTATCTACCCAAACTTATTTGTTTAACATATTGCAATTGTACTAATTTGTTACATGATAATGAATTTCTAATATGTAGGTATAGTTCTTTATACTTATTTATTTATATTAAAAAATGATCGATTCATTCTAATGAAATTCACTAATAAATCTTTTATATCGCCTATAAACTATTAAAATAATGCTGCTTAATCACTTTTTACATATTTTTCTCTGTATAAAACACATTCAATTTTGCTTATGTCACTGTCATGTGTTTTTATATATCGCAATTTTTCTTATTATATAATATAACATTTTACATATTTCTAATAAAATCGGTAAATATCAAGATAACATCGCTTTCATAAATTCACTCCATTTAACTTGTAATTTACTTGATATGATTAAATAGCACGAGAGTAAATAGGAAAAAATATTTAAACATATAAAGATTGGCATTACAATTTGTTTACAGCATCTGTGTTTTATTTTATATAAACTTATTTTTTATATTTGACATAGACAGTAGATAATATCTCATTAAAAAATGAATCCTTAACCACATAATTTTTGAGAAATATAAAGAATTAAATGGTAATAATTTCCAGCTACTTGCAAAGTAATTGTCTTAAGAAGATGCTTGATTAAGAAATACAATTTTATCATGCTTTTTTTAAGCATATTTATTAATCATAAATTATTTAAAGTTAATTATATTTAATGTATTAAATCATGTACAAATTATTCTTTTGTAATAGAGAGAAAAAAGAGAATAAGAAGAATCAAAAATATACAATTTTTCTTTTTATTGCTCGTGAAATGGGATAAATATTTATATTATATTACAATGTAAATTATATAAATTTATCGTAATATAAATTAATAACACATTAGCATAATTTATTTATCGCACATTATTATTAAGCTTATGTACTAGAATAACAAATTTTATAGATTGTCAATTTAACATTAATATTTATTTTATTAATTATATTTTACAATTATTCTAAAATGTTTACAATTCTTGTTTTTATTATTCTTGTTATTTTTAAGTCTATATATTACTATAAAAGAATATAAATAAGAATATAAATATATTTATAAATTTATATTCTTATTTATATTCTTTTATGTGCATATATAACATTTAAAAACATTTACAAATTTTTTAAAGAATCTTGTACACGATATTTATGTTTAATAATATATAATAATATATAATGATTGATTTGTCAAATAAAGTATTACGCCATGATATATAATAGTTCATACAACTAAATGAGAGTTAATCTTGATATAATTACATATATAATAATCTTGATATTGAAGGAGAGTAAATCCGTAGAGCTGCCCAAGTGCTTGAGTATTTTTCTAGAGATAAACAGATAGACCACCCGAGCACTTGAATTAGGTATATAAACAGATAGGTAGCCCGGATATTTTTCGGTCCGCGATGCGAGCAGTCTCCGTGACGTTTCGAGAGCGCGAAAACGTGTATTAGACAAGCGTCTCTCTTTGTTCGTATTAATCTTGTAATCCAATAAATATATATCAGTTATTCGTCTTAAAAAGTATTCTATTCCATTTCATATCCTTGCGTCAAAATATCCTACAATATATTATTATGATGTTACTTGATGACATGCCAATTATCCTCTTTTTTAAAAAGAAATTATTACATATTTAAAAAAGACGTACTTTCATTTGTATCATAATAATCACATACATTAAAATTGTCGTGCAAAGCTGAAAGAAAACATGTCAATTAAAAGTCTTGCTGTATATAAAAATAATAATTTATTAAAATGTAATAAATTAAAAATTAAAAATTGAACAAGAGAAGTAGGTATGTAGTGAAAGGATAGCAATATAAAAATTTCGGAAACAACATTAGATCAATTTACAGAATATTTATTTCCTTAATTTAATAATATGATTTAATTATTTAATATATGGCACAAAAATAAAATAGTGAAAAAAAGTATATGAAAGTGAACCTTTCGAAGGAAGTCAAAGCCAAAATAGAAGAGACCCATTCCAGTAAATTTTAACG